TTGGGCAAAACGGTATCTCCCCTCCCTATGTGAACAACGGCTGTTGTCTGTAGGGCATGAGCTACCTTTGCCTGCAAGGAAGAAGCAGGCTATTCTGTGTCTGTTCTCTCTGGGTCCCCCTCTCCCTTCCTCTAAAGCAGGAAGAACTCAGACCTAGGCAGGATATGACTCTCACCAATTGCCCCATCTCTTTGGACAGGTGAGCCATTTGCCACCTCCAAACTGAGCGTTGTCATTCTTCCCATAACTCCCTGCTCTCAATTAAGTTGAAGGACATGATCCTAGTGGACTCCAAGATGAACATGAGTCGGCAGTGTGACGAAGCCATCAGAAAAGCCAATGGCACTTTATCGTGCATCAGCAGATGCATGACGAATAGATCCAAGGAGGTGATACTTCCCCTCTATCGGGCGCTGGTCAGACCGCAGTTGGAATACTGCGTGCAATTCTGGGCACCGCACTTCAAGAGGGATGCAGATAACCTGGAGAGGGTCCAGAGAAGGGCCGCTCGTATGGTTAAGGGCCTGCAGGCCAAGCCCTATGAGGAGAGACTAGAGAACCTGGACCTTTTCAGCCTCCACAAGAGAAGGTTGAAAGGCGACCTTGTGGCTGCCTATAAGTTCATCACGGGGGCACAGAAGGGAATTGGTGAGGGTTTCTTCACCAAGGCACCCCCGGGGGTTACAAGAAATAATGGCCACAAGCTAGCAGAGAGCAGATTTAGATTGGACATTAGGAAGAACTTCTTCACAGTTAGAGTGGCCAAGGTCTGGAATGGGCTCCCAAGGGAGGTGGTGCTCTCCCCTACCCTGGGGGTCTTCAAGAGGAGGTTGGATATGCATCTAGCTGGGGTCATCTAGACCCAGCACTTTTTCATGCCTATGCAGGGGGTCGGACTTGTTAGGGTCGGAAGGGACCTCAATAGATCATCATCTATGAATCTACGTGTCTCATGCCTCTTCAGTGGTTGGCATGGGGACCCAAGCTCCAGAATCTTATGTCAGATTCTCATTCCCTACCAGAGCTTGTGTTCCCAGAACCCCCATGCTGGGTTCTCTCACTTCTCACTCTCAGCCCCCTCACTAGGGCTTCTTCACCATACCCCCTCTCAGGTCCACTACTCTCAGGAGTTTCTCTCTGGTTCCCACTCTGCAGCCACAGGACTCTACTATTCGTCTGGGTGCTGCCCAGGGTCCCTCCTCTTGACCTGGGCCCTGCCTCAGAGCTCACCAGGAGTCTGGCCTCCCTCTGTCCAAACTTAGTTGCACCAGGGATGTGGGGCTGGGATTAGAAGGTGCCCTATACTTGCCTTTCACTGGAGAGGTAATGTCCTGGTTTTTTCCTGGGGGGCTCCCACACCACCAGGAGCCCCACCAAGCCACCCATCCCTGGCAGGGTGAAGCTTTAGGTCTTACCCAGGACCAGGAGCCTCCAAGCCATCCCTCTAGCTCCTGCCATGCTGCGAGGGAGCTGGATGGTGCTGCTACATCAGCTGCAAGCAACTAACTACTTGCCTTGTCTGGCTGGCCTAAGCTGGAAAATGGCTGCCCTTATCAGGCACCTGGCAGCTGCCTGCTCCAGCCCTTAAAGTGGCAGGCACCAAAGGTGCACTGCCACAGGTGGTATCCATAAGGTGCCCTGCCACACACAGCTATCATAATCTGTTCTCTTCTTTAACCTCTTTCCCCTCTAATGTAACCAATTGCTAGCGCTTCTCCTCTTTCAGCTTCCTGGGGAAGACATCAGGTTCTTCAATTATTATTTCTAAATCTAACTTCCTCTGCATCCATTTCCAGCTTTCATTCTAACCTCCATGCACCTGCACAACATCCCCCACATTATGCAAACTTTATGTTCCTCATGTATTAAATTAATTAAATCAATTCCTTCTCTTTTATATAACTTCTGTCTTCATATACACTCTCATTTTCAGTTTCTTGAATGTGACCCCTGATAGCCTTAATCCTACAAACACATTAATTCATTAATAACTTTATTTAGAAGAGAAAACACACCAAAAAGACCCTGAAATAACAATTTATCTTTCCATTTTATATACCTATGAAAAGCTTTCAATATATAATATTGTATTGATAAACCAATGCAGTACATGTGAATTAATGTGATTTTCCTAATGTGCATTAAATTTAGTATTTCCAATGTGAAGTCCTAAATAAACGTGTTGCTCTGTGGGGTCAGGCCAACTCCCAGGATCTCAAAATTGCACTGCTAGACAGGAGGGTGAAGAATTAGGTGCATACACACACACACGGTCAATTACCAGCCTAGGCATATGCACACCTGTCACCAGTTCAAACACCTACACACATTATACAGACCAAAAATTAGACCAGAATCAATTATCTGCACACCCAATACACATACACGGATCACTAATTCGTATATCGTGCACACAGTGATGTATATGTATATCAGTTAACATACATATATCTACACACACACACACAGGTGAGTTCCTAACTTGGGTGTTGTGATATGTATGTATGTATGTGCTTGGGATACCTGGGGAAAGGTTAAGGTAAGAAAGTAGAAGTGTAGGGAGTAAAAGTTGCCGGGACCAGGATTAGAACCATCAGACTAGGGAGAGCTGGGCTGAAGAACTGAGGTTTGGGGGTTACTTTAGGTTAATTGACCTTAATTGATTAAAGGACAACGCCCAAAGCCTGCAGAACAGGGGAGTGATGCTGGAGAGAAGCTAGCACAGAGGCTGGGACCAAAGCCGGAGCTACAGGGGAGCCAAAAGGTAAGTGGGGAGAGGAAACCGGGTGCAGGGGAGCTAGAGAAGGTGAGGAGGAAACTGGGGGCTGGCTCTGGGAGCCAGGGTTACTGGAGAGGGACTGCTGGGGAGATCAGGAAGCTACAGGCTGAGGGGCTGCCAGTGCCGGGAGCTGGAGAAGGGCTCTGGCTTCTGGGAAACCTGTGGGGAATTTGGTAGCAGAGGACTGTGGGGGGAGAAGGGGCAGCTAGCGAGTGTGTGGGGGAAAGCTGGAGAACACAGAGGGAAGGTAGGGCAGGAAAGGTTAGGAACAGAAGTCAGAGAGAGAGAGAGATGGGGAGAGGCAGGGGGAGGCAGAAATGAGTGGGACTGAGAAGTTAAAAGTGGCAGAAAGAGCTGCAGAGAGACATGGGAAGAAGGCGGTGGACAGCAGAAACGGGGCCAGGAGGCTAGAAGCAGCTGCCATGGTGGAAAGGGCTGTGGGAAGATGTGGGAAGAAGGTGGTGGATGGCAGGAACGGGACTGAGAGACAGCAGAAAGCAACAGGGCCAAGAGGCTGCAGCAGGGGAACAAAAAAGGGACAGAGAGGAGCTGAGAGGTGGCAGGAAAAGTGGGGGGAAGTTGAGAGAGAGAGACCGAGATCAGAGTTTAAGATGGGGAAGGGACTGGGGCTCAGTAAAATACAACCCAACTTGGGGTTATAAATGACAGTGGTTTTATTGAATAGGGGAGATGGTGACACAATATCTTATTGGTTCCTTTGCACGCACGCACCCACGCACAATGGCAGCAGGGGTTAAAGAGGCTTGGTGCAGGGGCTGAAATCTGGGAGGAGAGAGAGTCCAAATTGGAGGAGGAAATGTGCAGGTGATATTTACCTATCCCAGGCTGAAAGTTGCTCCTTGACGGCCAGTCAGGGTCTCCTTCAGCTCGGTGTTGTCCAGAATGGGGTGCCAGCAGAGCCTCTGGGGTGGACAGGCAACGTGACGTGGAGCTGGTCTGGTTCAGATAGAAATGGTGTTCCCATTGGGTCTGTCTTCACTGCCCCTTTTTAAAGGGGCAGACCTTGTGTGACCCTAGTGACAGGAGGCATGCCCAGGCAAGGGTCAGCCCCTGGCGTACTGAGCATATGTGCTCCATGCAGGGATGTGCAGGTTCGGGTGTCTGTAATGGTGGGGTACAATGGTAGAGTTGCTGGTTCTGCAGGGTCTTTTGTCTTTCAAATGCTAATTTCTTGTCTCTGTTCCTGGGTGAGGTCTGTGGTTCCTGGATGAATCAATACGAGGTGAGGGCCCGGTCGTTACAGGCCATTCAGTAGAGGCCTGCTACCATTGTATTTCAGTCATTCCCAATCACTTTCATTCATCCGGGAACAAATTTACATGTGAGGGGTAGACATGAGTCACAGTTACAACACAGAGGATGCCCAGGCAGAAGACACAAGATGGAGGTTTGACATATAAAATAGAAACTTGATATTACCTTGGTTCACTTACAAACACAAGCCTAAAACATACAATATCCATATGAAACAAAAATTTACATGTGAGGGGTAGACATGAGTCACAGTTACAACACAGAGGATGCCCAGGCAGAAGACACAAGATGGAGGTTTGACATATAAAATAGAAACTTGATATTACCTTGGTTCACTTACAAACACAAGCCTAAAACATACAATATCCATATGAAACAATAAAAATCAATACAAAAATGATAATAATACAATATACAACAGTAAAAATCAATACAAACCTAGCAAAACACTATTTACAATATAAAAAAGGGGGGCTTGTCATATAAGAACTTAGCTTACCTAATACTACTAATAACTATTTATAAGGGATAGAGAGGTCAGAAAGGAAGTTAGAAATGGTTAGGGAAGGGGAGGGAATGCATTAAAAAAAAACAAAAAAAAAAAAACAACTGCGGGGAGCGGGGAGGGGTTGCTACAAATGCACATTAAGCTGCCCTAATGTGCAGTAGCAAAAGCGCACACTTTTTTAGTGATGTTTAATGTGAAACCTATTGTTACGATGGTAAACCCTTGCATTTTCCAACCCTTTCTCCTGCTGATTTATGGTAAGCCCTAGCATTGGTCTTGTAGCTGATGCACTGTTTACTCATGCTTGCATTTTCCTGCCCTTTTTTCCCACTCCTTTTCTCCTGCTGCTTGCAATCTGCTCTTTCTCCCACTCTTTTCCTTTGCTGATTTGTGCTGAGCATGAACACTGAAAGGTCTTGGTCTTGCAGCTGATACAAACGTTGCCTATGCCCAAGCTGGAGATTTAACCAGGCATAACACTTAAGACGCTAAAGTTAGCAGAAGTGTAATGTTTGTTTTACATGTTTGTTTACTTAGGGGTTTTAAATAGTTAATTGTTTGTCTAATCATTTGACTGTTTGTTTAGTTGTGGAATAGAGGAACTCAAACCAGGCAGGGGAGGGAAACCAATGGTATATCAAGAGGGAAAATGCAAAAGTAGGCTTTTAAGATGAGTAACCAGAAGTGACCGAAGGTAGTAGGGGTGACGACCTCATGCAAGCGCAGAGTGGAAATTTTCATGGTAATGGGCTAATGAATGGAAAATTCCATGGACAGGGGCGGAGCCATGGGAGGAGGTCGGGGGAGGAGACTGGGCATGTTTTAATGCTAATGAGTGTAGACTGGAAGGTATAAATGTATGAATGCAATAATGTTCTGGGCCGCTCCCCTGCTGGATAGGGACCCGCCCAAAGTTGCCTCCACTTCAACAAAGTTGTTGAATGCAGTGCGTGTTTGTGTTTGCCCCATGAGTGGTCATGCTCATGATCCCATGGGCAATTGATTCGTTGGTTCCCCTAGTCATTGGGCCTCATGTGGGGTTGAGGTTTAACACCTATTTTATGCACATATGCATAATTGCATTTCTTTTATGCAACGCTTTAATGTGCAATAAAATAGGCTACTGCACATTAAAGCACATGGGCCCTAGTGGTATAACACACATACATTCCTGCCTATAGGGTTTATTTGAATATGTAGGTAGTACACAAAACTGGTAGCACACTGTCTCATCAAAAAGTTTCTCTTCTTAAAACATATACAATCTTTCATTAAAGGTTAATAGGTAAATGATCTGTTTAGGGAGATAATTGTTAAAATCCTAAAATGTAAAACTGAGATTGGATTATTTATACTTCCCTTAACTTTCAGACATCATAGCTTGTTTTCTAATGTATCATTACCAAGTAAGAAGAAATGCTAAAGAAAAATAGTGCAAGACTAAACTCTGAGTCAATACTGTATTGATAAGAGGAAGTCAGACTACCTTTTCAGTCTGAGAAGACTTCAATGAAATGTTTTAACTGAGAAAAAAGGAGCAGCTGTCTTTGGCTGACTGTGTATGTGCTTCCAAGCTATGCTGAAAATGTTTCATTCCAGACATTTGAGAGAAGACTAGCAGAAACAAAACTAAAACATATTTTCTACTTCAATATTCTCAAGACTTTGTATCTGGCAAGCCCTGTATGCTTGCCAAACCTGAATTAGAAGGATGGATATTTTCTAACATGTTCTCAAATCTATGACAAGCTTTTTTCAGGCATCATCTGGATAGCAAGAATAGCAAATGGAATAAAATTAAATAACACAAAAATTAAAGAATGAGTTGAGAGGAGGAGGACACACAACCGGTATAAATGCTGAGCTAGATAGACTGTTTAATGATTATTAATTATTTGTGTTTTAACAAGCTAAAATGTTTAACTTCATTTAGGTCTGACTACAGGGAAGACATGCAATTCAATCCATTTCCAATGACTGTCACAAAAATGTACCCCCCAGTGAGGAGTCCAGATGCAGCACTGTGACCCCTAATCGTATTCCAGACCTATGGATCTGGAGCGATGACAGATGTTCTCTCTTCTAAAGCAGAATATAGTTTGGATGCAGCTGCTTGCTCTATGCCCCAGCACTGGAGGTTGGAGCCCATGACCTCTCACAGGGTATGTTTCCATAGAGGTCTGCAGAGAGAGTACTTTCTCTGGGGGGTGCTTTCTCAGAGGGGTGACAAGCAGGGAAGTTGAATGGGGAGCATGACTTTAAAGCCACTGATTCTGAGCAAAAACTCCACCTCTCAGACACAAAGCAAAGGGTTGTTTTAGTGTTTGTTTATACAGTTTAGTGACGCTAGTCCCAGATCCTTTCTGTATTTCTCCAGATGCTCCAGGTTTACTGATGGGAACTTTTCTGAGAAATGCCTGAGTTAAAACAAAGCAGAGAACTTCAGGCTGTCACTCCATCTCTGGGGCCTGGTTACATTTGGTCACCAATACCAAAGATTCAAGAGCAAAGGAGCTAGTAATGTTCTAATGCCAGAAGGTCTATGAAGCCTTCCATTTTTCTTTCCTAGTGAGTATAGTAGTATTCAGCATTCCCTCTAGGCTGCGTGGCATGCACAGCCATGCAGGCGCACTCATGCTGTACTGCCAGGAGTGCCTGAGCGGACATGCACAACATTCAGCTTAGAGGGAATGCTGGTAGTATTGATATATTTGGTCCTATGATACTACATTGGGAAAGCCCTTTGCATTTATTGTATCCCTACTCTACACTGTGAGCCAGCTGTTCAGTGAAAACCCTCAGCTACCCTTAGCATAGGGCTTTGTTGTACTGAGTCCTCCTGAGCCAATTAAAACTTGACATTTTGCACCCTTTCTAATTAAAATGCAAATGAAGGAATGAATTATGTAAAAAACAGATTATGCAGGTTAATTAAGATGAAAACATACGTAGACCTTGAGTTTACTGTTAAGTGGATTTTAAACATAACCTGCTGACATAGTTGAAAATAGAGCAGGAACACAGTATGTTTCTGCAGTGGAAATACCCTTTGTCTGGAACAAATGTACCAAGGTCCCTGAAGAGAACAGAGGAATAATTATTCATCTGTTTATAGAAATTTGAGATAAATTAGCCAAGATGCAAACTTGTTTCTTTCCTGCACTAACAATTGTACCTTACCCTTCTGCTTCCAGCTAATGCCCTTCTCTGTCTTAAACTTCCTGTCTATGGATTTGGTTGGTAACAACACTAATAAAGTGGATGAAGCCAAGTTCTTGTAGTCCTCAGTGTATGCAATGCATTTGTAATTCCCAGCCCTACTAATTGGACATGAGCTTCTAGACAAAGAGACAATATGTAGGCTGCTTCTCAGACCATTTGCCCACCTCTCCTTTGCTGGAGAAAAAGAGAAACAAAGGCAAAGGAAGTTAGAGAAACTAGAATGACCTTGTCTACATCAATACGCTAGAAGAAGAGTGGTGTTGGAAAAACTGGAGAGGAATAAAAAATGCAATGATCATATGAAATGTAGATCTTTGGTCGTCCTTTTACAAGGTAGAGAATTTTCCAGCCTTTGAGCTAATTCATTTATTAGCACTATATAAGCTGCATTTAATTTTTAGAAAGATATTTCATTTGATAAGATGCTTTTTGTTAGCTAATGCAATAAAATACTTTTAAATAATCTATAACGCAAATCCAGTTTTTCAGAATACATGTAAATACAAAATAGATATAAACGAGAAGTTAAGTGGGACTTTGACATACGTAGAGAAGAGTACTTGGAGGGAGGTATTGTGTTAGATAAAGTGTTTGTAGGGAATATGTATGCTTGTGCCTAGGATCTTACATGACGTAGCACCACTGTGATTAATTTTCTTAATAAATAGACAAAGTATTTTTAAAAGTAAGGAATTCATTCATACTACCACTTGCCATACTGCTTATGATACAGAGGAACAAAATAGCCTCATGGTGAAAGCATTTGGGACTCAGGATATCAGTTCACAGAACTGTTAGGGACTTCCCTTATAAAAACCTGTGCCAAAGTGAATTGCCCAAGTCAAAATTATTTAAAAC